TAGAATAGTTTCAACTTCTGATTAGGTTTATTAGGAGGTAGCTCCATCACAAGTTGAGAGGCCTCTGTAATTTTATTTTTGCATTGCCATGGTGTCAAAAACATAGAAGAAAACATCCATAATCAAAGGCATTTCTGTACATCAGTGACAAATCCTCTGAAAGAGAAACTAGGAAAACGACCTCATTTACAATAGTAGTAAATAGTAAATAGTAAAAATGACTTTCTTCATACGAGTGTACAGGTCTTGGAATCTTATCCTACATAGACATTTGTGGAATCTTGGTTTACAAGCACGCCATTTAAAAATTTAAATGTTGCTGTTCAGCAATTAGGATATAGAACAGTCCCATCACCCTGCAAATTGCCATTAGAGTCGTAAGAAAGTGGTTTTACTCTCTCCTGCTTACCCTTTGTATACAACGCCTACATGATAGCTTGCCCTTGGTGAATATTTGTTGATTGAATGAGGGAAACATATCAATGCCAACAAGCGATGAGAGTGGATATTGTAAGGGCCACCATTGCAGATCTCTGGTGGAGTGGTGGTCTTTTTTCTCCTCCTCCCCACTTTATTTTCTCTTTCTTTGCAGTGCTAAGGGTTGAACCCGGGGCCACATGCATGCTAGGCAAGAACTCTACTATTGAGCTACACCCCGACCCCTTGGCCTTTATTGCTTAATATTGAATGAAACAGAGATGAGATGACAGAGAGGATTTAGCTGACAAATCCAGAGCAGTTTTATTGGCACCTGCAGCATCTCCCATTCCACAGGACAGGGAGGGGGCAAAGGGGAAAAGATGCTTCAGCTCAAGCGGGCTACAAAGAGACAGATTTTCACAGGTTTCCAGGAGCCCCCAGGTTGTAGTAGTGTCCCAAGTCTCTGGCAATTCTAAGCCTCTCCCAGCCAGCACTGTTACCACTTGCATGCACATGGCTAGAGAACAGAGGGAACTTCCGTGGTCTTTGGTCACTCCATCACTCCAAAAATGCCTCACCCAGACTCAGGGACTTCCCTTGGGAAATGACAGTCTTCTCAAATTCTCTATTTTATTAACCAGCACATCCTCAAGTTGATTTTCTTTGCCTTCTCAACCTCTGTTCTTATAGAGATGTGCAGCTGAGTCTGGGGGCTCCTGGTTCACCTGTGAAATCCCAATTTATTTCCTTGGAATAAAAGCAGCCAAAGCAAATGTGATGCACGGTTACTCCAAGCCATTCTGCTTAGGATGATGTCAGCTTCACAGCACCGTTTGAAAAGTTCTGGTCCTTCCCAAGTCACCGTTCATTCCCTTTTAGCTGCCGTGTCCAGATGAGCACGAGGATTACCCCACAATAGACCTACGTGCCATTTCAGCCTTCGTGGGGACTGGAGCGTGATGCAGTGAGACAATTCAAGGAAACGTGCGAGGAGGCGTTCGGAGCTCCGTTGCTGGCTTCCCCTGGGCGGGCAGGATCTGTGTCCACCAGGCAGTGATTCCTTGTCCTTTCAGGGCAAGGTCCCGGTCCTTTTCTTCCTGGGCCTTCCTCAAGCTTTCCCTAG